AATAAAGACAGGAAACACCTTACCACCCTGGTACCACACCAGCTGCAGCTACTTCATGTCAAGGGGTCATCTCTGTGCCATATGGCAGAGGAGTGTTGCAACTCCAGTGGACACATGCTGTTGTTATTTGATGCTGTTAAGTCGGTTCTGACTCAAATAGACCTATATACAACAGGCACGTCGTCGTTGTTGTTATTAGGTGCCATTGAGTCAGCTCAGACTCATAGCAACCCTACATACAACAGAATGAAACACTGCCCGGTCCTGCGCCAGCCTCCAATCGCTGCTATACCTGAGCCCATCACTGCAGCCACTGTGTCGATCCATCTCATTGAGGGCCTTCCCCTTTTTCACTGACCCTCTACTGTTGTTGTTATGTGCTGTCGAGTCAGACCTGATTCATAGTGAACCCTCCTTGGTTTTCCAAGGAGGTATCACTATTGAAGTAGATTGCCCAACTTTCCTTCCTAGGAGTGGCTGGTGGGTTTGAACCACCGACCTTCTGGTTAGCAGTCAAGTGTCTTAGGCACTACGCTACCAGAGCTCCTACCCTCCACTTTACCAAGCATGATATCCTGCTCTAGGGGATGGTCCCTTCTGACAACAACACCAAAGTAGATGAGACGAAGTCTGATCATTCTTGCTTCCAAGAAGCATTTCGGCTGCACTTTTTCCAGGACAGATGTGTTAGTTCTTCTGGCAGTCCATGATACTTTCAGTATTCTTCACCAACACCACAACTCAGAAGTATCAACAGCTATATTTGGGTGTTTGCATGGGTGGGCAGAGGATGTCAGGTGTAGAGGATTATTCTGGAAAAAGTATTTTGGAGAAAGCATATACCCCGTCCCTCTGTGCCCAATTTTCTGTCCTCTTTCCTCCCAACATCCCAAAATAATATATACTTTATTACGAGCTTTTACATTACATTGCAGATCTGTATTTCATTCACTATTCACAATATTACTATATAGTAACAATGTCCATAGTCCACAGAGGAGACAGCAAGCCAACAAAGTTGCCCAGAGCCATTTAGCTAGCAAATAGTATAGAACCAGCACTTGAACAGGATCCATGACTCCAAATCAAGGGTTTCTTACCCTACACCCTTTACAGTTTCCCCTTTCTGAGGGAGGTTGTCTCCTAGTTAGGCTACAGCAGTATGATGACATCTTCAAAGTTTCAACGTTCCGGAACTTTGTGTAACACTCTGGTAGAACCAGCAAGTCATTCTGAGTCTCCTGACCCATCCCACGGTGGGTTGGGAGGGGGAAGGAGGAAGAAGGACAGGATTCACAGCTGCTCCTCTGCTTCTGGGCCCCCATGATCTTCTCTTTCAAAGAAAGGGCTGCTCCCTCCCTGTTGGTGGCAGTGTGGCTGAAACATTGGGTAATAGTGTCCAAGATGTCACCCTTCTCCCAGCAGAGGTCTAGAACCAGGTCAGTTGCTGTGTTTTGGGCATGTAGGAGTGACTCCATTATTATGCCCTTTTGCTATTTACTATACACTGCATCATTGGAAGGGATAGAGGAGCAGGCGCTAGGCTCCAGGGAGACTTTGCAGATCCATACTGCCAAACTGGCTTTTCAAGGGAATGGCTACTTCTGCCATGTTCACAATGCTAAGGAATCAGAAGGCCACCTACTGAATCCTCAGTAGGTTGCCACCATTACTGCTTCAACTGTCTCTCAACACCATGAAGCTCGTGCCCAGGCACTGCAATGCTGTTGCAATAGGAAACCCTCTGCTCTCACCTGTGTATCTCCAGTCTTACTAGTCATCAGGAAACTCAAGGCTGCAGGAAAATAGCCTCCATCTCATTTCCACCTTCTAGATCTCCCTAATTCGCCTATCTGGTAGAAGATAATTCACAACTAGACCCCTAGCTGCAAGGGAGTCTGAGAAATATAGTTTTAAACTTTCTGGCCACTGTAGTACAGAAAGTTTAAACTGTATGCTGACTGCCAAACCACCATATATATTGGCAATAAATATTGAGCATTTATTATAAAATATTCTAGAGAGATTTTCTAATTGACTCTACCTTAACATTTATGTAATGAAATTAGAAAATATATCCCTGAAGATGATGGACATGTTCATATTTGCCAACTATTTTCTTAACCATCCCAAAAGTGACTTCCTGCCACCAAATCTACCACTAGTAAGTTTGGAGGGTTTCTCATTCATTGGGAGACAGATAGATATAAATCTTCTAAAAGAATTCTAGGCATTTTTAAAAAGATAGATTATGAATATTATTTAAAGTGTGAAAATTAGAGTAAAAATAGCTATTTATAATCCTACATCACTATCACAATAACCATTTTACTCTTTTCATGTGCTTCTTTCCTTTTTTTTTTTAATTAATAAAACATTATCTGGAAAAAGATATAATAGAAAACAGAAATAAAGCCAAAACAACCAAGCATATCAATATTCATAATATGAAAGATATACACATATATATAAAGTAATATATATGTATATATTAGACAGGTCCCTATGAGTTGGGGCCCACTCGATGGCACATAACAATATAGGAAATCACATGAAGACAAAGCTTTGAAACCAAGGCTGGGCTTGGACAGATTTCTGATGAAATACAATTGAAGGCTTTGCTTAAGTGTTAGGTAATGTTCAAGATATTATGACCACTCTTCCATATTCCATTTGTGCAAATCAGCAAAGCAGACTTCAAAACATGATCCCTGCTTGTTTCACCAGTCATGTGCTTATTTTCATATTCGTGAATTTAATGTTTATAGATTTTTTTTATTTTTCCTATAACAGCATATAATTATTTTTCATGTTGTTGTCTATATTAATCACAGTTTTTAATAGCTGGATAATTATCTCACTAAGTACATGTATCAATGTTTACTCAACCATCCCTCTTAGTTGAACATTTTGGCTGCTTCTAATTACTTTCTACTATAAATAATACTTTGAATAGGAGCTTCAGGAATACTTAGGCTTTTGTGTCACTTTCCTAGGAGTGGAACAGTGGGTTAATATGTACTGGTTAAATGGTATATGCTTTTAAGTGCGTGTCAACAGGTTTTCATCAAATTTGTTAAAAACTAATTTTACAATATCAGGGAGTTTTTTCTCTAGCAATCACTAGACAAAGTACTTGTTTCCTGACAAAAGGGGCATCTATCACATCCTTAGCACTCATCTTGGGAGCTGCTGTTGACTGAAAAACCAAACATGGAGAAATGATGTCCTTGGCCTTGAGGCCTCTATTGGTAATACTCACATCACTGTATCTGAAACCTGTAAGAGCCGCCTGGAATGCTGTGACCTGAGCCTTAGGACAGGGCGAGGGCAAAGAGCAGATGCAGCATCTTCAGCAACTCCTCTGCCCTTTCATATCTCAAGGCCCAGCTTTTGTGATCAGAAATGTTCTCTGGATAAGGCAGGGAGGCCCTGGTGAGGTAGCAAGAGTCAAGTCTTATGGCCTGGAACATGTTCATTTAGATGTACAGATCTCCAAAAGGAGTAAGACAAGGCTATTTAAGTTAAAATACAGCAGGTTGTACTTTATTTAAGAAGTCAACTTGAGAAGACTTTAAGGACTAGGAGAATCAAGTCTTAAAAGACAGGTAGACACATGCTGTAAGATTTTACTGTCATTTACTTTGCACTCTATGAGACCTGGCCTCTAAACATCTTCCAAGCATGTCAAACCCAAGGGAGAATCACTGGAGGAGCCTCCTCTGAAGGGGCTCCATCTACTTATCATCGTAGTCAATCCACAATAGGGTGGATTTGGCCTCTTTGTAAGGAATTAAAAGAACGCTGGTGGTGCAGCCCTGGTGGCATAATGGTTAAAATGCTGGCTTGCTAACAAAAGGTAAGTGGTTCAAATCCACCAGTGTTTCCAGAGAAAGATGTCGCAGTCTACTTCCTTAAAGATTTACAGCTTTGGAGACGCTATGGGACAGTTTTACTCTGTCCTATAGGATCACTATGGGTTGGAATCCACTGTACTGGCAATGGATTTGGGTGGTTTTAATGGTTAAGCTCTCAGCTGCTAACCCAAAGGTTGGGGGGTTTGGAACCGGCCCACCTGAAGGAGAAAGATGTGTGTGGCAGACATGTAGCAGTCTGCTTTGACAAAGATTTACAACCTTGGAAACCCTAAGGTGCAGTTCTACTCTGTCCTATAAGGTCAGCTATGAGTCAGAATCAACTGGATGGTGGTGGGTTTGGTTTTTTGTTTGGTAAGAAATTAGCCCTATCCAAGAAATGTGTTTCAGTAAAATAAATACATTTTGAATTAATGGGCGTTTTCCACCAACATAGCAGCCCAAACAAGACCTTAAGTGTTTTACTGTCTCCTCCAAGGTATTCGTCCTCGTGTTGCACAAAACAAAGCGCCCAACTGCTATTCTGCAGTGTGGACTCAATTGTAGAACTCCACTTAGCCCTCCACCCCTACCCCCTAACCACCATAACTGCTCCATAACTGACATCACAGCAACTTCCCTCCCTTCAGGCCTTAAAAATGCCACAGCTTGCTGAGCAATACTCTACAAAACCACTAGTTGTGGGGGCGGGTTTTCCCTGAGCCGCTGTAACTGATCTCATTCTAGCTTTAGGCATATCCACCATGAGGCCTGGCTGACCCTCTCCAATAATGGGCACCAGCCTGGCCGTTGCGGGGTAGCACCACTCTCGACGTACTACAACTTTCCGGGACACCCCAACGTCTCCTCTCGCCCCCATCCGGTTGCTTGGAAATTTGCACTGGACAGCTGACGTCACATAAAGAGGCGGGTCCCTACTGTCCCGCACACCAATGGAGAGGCCACGGCTGGCCTCTTCTTTTCCAGTGATTGGTGTCTTGGCACCCTCTGCTCCACCCCATCCCGCCATGGCGTCAGGCGCCGCAGCACCAGGGAGGTGGTTCCCACTTTAAGAAGTGAAGTTTTTAACCCCCTCCCCCTCCTTGCCCACCTCCTGCAGCCGCCCGTCCCCCCGGGAGCTGGCGGATGGAGCTACGCTGCGGAGGCGTAGGGAGCCAGCCTGTGGGGCGGAGGATGGATGGGGACACCCGAGATGGCGGCGGCGGCAGCAAGGACGCCGGGTCGGAGGACTATGAGAACCTGCCGACCAGCGCCTCCTTATCCACCCACATGACAGCCGGAGCGATGGCCGGGATCCTGGAGCACTCGGTTATGTACCCGGTAGACTCAGTGAAGGTGAGATAGGAGGAGACATTGTGGAGACAGTGCGAGCCAGAGCTAAAGAGAACGCGCGCGCGCTTGCATCCCGCACAAGACAAGACCCACACAACGCAATGAAAGCACGCTGTCCACCCGGCAGTGTCGGGCGTGGACTGCGGCGGGCCGCGGCCGCTCAGCCCCCTCCCCGCCCGGGCAGGAGGGGCCAGAGGCAGGGCGGGGGTCTCGGAGAGCGGGCACGCGCAGCCTGGGCGCCGGTGAGCGTGCCTCGCAGCTCCTTCCGCAACGCGTTGCAGCCACTGGGGCTCCTCTCGACCGGGCATGTTTGCCACAGCTCCACCGCACCGCACCCTCCGCTGCCCGGGCTGGTGGCTCCTGCCTCTGGCCTTGGTGGTCGTGGCCAGGATGCCCAAGGAGGGGATCGGTGCAGCTTTGTACAGTGTTATTACTTCTGCCCCAGCGATTCGCAGTTTTGGGGGTCCTAGGTCATCGTGGACTCCTGTGGACGCGCTTGGTGCCGGAGCTGCTGCGCAAGGCGTCCGCAGGCCTGTGTGGGTAGGCTGAGGCTGCCCACACGTGCTGCGTTTCCGAGGGAGCTAGCAGAGGGGAAGCGGTAACCACGCTCGCACTGAGAAACGTGGCCACAGCCTGCCGGAGCGCTCTACGACCCTGGCGTTTTGCTCTGCTCACGGATTTGTTTTTTTGGGGGGGTGGGGGTGGGGCATGCGGGTGGCTGGTGGCGCAGTGGTTAAGCGCTGGGCTGCTAACGGAGAGGTGCGGTTGGAACCCACCAGCTGCTGCTCAACGAGTGAAAGATGTGGCAGTCAGCTTCCGTAAAAATGTACAGCCTGGGAAACCCTACGGAGCATTTCTTCTACTCTGCCTTCCCTATAGGGTCGCTATGAGTGGGAATCATTTAGATGGCAGTGGGTTTGTTTTGGTGGGTGGCTAGGGTTCTCCGCCTTTGGCATCTGTCTTGGGAGTATGGGTCAAACTCCGCCCCGTGGGATCCCGTATCCTCAGGGTTTCTGCTACTCACCCTTGGGTTTCTGGCAGTCTAGCAGCCAGGTTAGCAGCCAGGTGGCAGTGAGACTTTCAGTGACATTTGCTTTCTCATTTTGCTTGCGGGGAGGCAGATGGAAGGAGAGTTTTTGCTATACAGCCTTTAATATGTGTTGTGCAATAAGCACTCACTTTGTCCCTAAGCTCATTCCGGTCACTCCTTCAGGTAGTTGTAAATTCACTTCTGTAAGGAAGTAGCTTTAGCGGGAACTTTCACCTGTTAGACTTAGAATTGCCCTTTCTCAGCCTGTTAGGAGACTTAGTGGCCAGAGGATAGTGCAGGGAGTAGTGACTGTTACACATTGCATTTTCGTCGTAGATCATCTCATTCATACAACAGTTAATTCTCGGGTGGGGGTGGGTGCAAGGAGTGGAATTAATATCTTCTTTATCTAAAGAAGCAGCTACAGAGAGATGAAATGATTAGTTCGTTGAGTCTCACACATTGCTTATTTCCCCTGACCTGTAGCTGAAGTGTTTTGGGGGAATCAGGGACCTCTCTAAGTACAGTTATCTTACAAGGCAGGGACCACAGAGCTCCTCTACTGGCAGCTGTATCTTGTTGCTGATGGTGGTCCAAGTGAGCAGGTGAGATGGCCCGCCAGTTTAATAGAGAGCCTTTCCTACTCTGGGCAGCCTTTGGAGAGCTGGCTGTTGATTCCTGGACAGGTACAAGTCCAAGTCCAGGGGAAAAGTGAATGGGCATTTCTAGTAAAGCCTTGCCTAAGTCTTTCATGGTGGGGAGTTAAACACGTGATTCTTACCTGCCACAGATACCAAGGGGATGGAGGCGATTTTGTCTCTTAGGTTTTCCAAGCTCCTCCAGGACAGATACCAGGTGCATTTGTGTAAGAAGAAATCCCTCAAATATGATAAAATTCTCCATATTTTAAACTGTTTTCTCAAGTGCTTGGACAGAGTCTGGGAAAAGTTAATAGCCGGGAGAGATTATTTGAGGAGGCTCCAGATTCTGGTGGTGTGGAACTGAAAGGTCAAGAAACCTTATTGTAATCTCTGAGGCCCTTGGCCTTTTTACCATAAGTTTGGTTTTGGGCATCATTTATGCTTATTTTTAGGATTAAAAGTAATTAGTCATGCATTTTGAGCTCCCTTTGATACTCTAGCAGGAGAAAGATACAGCAGTCTGCTTCCATATGGATTTATAACCTTGAAAACCCTATCGGGCAGTTCTACTCTGTCCTATAGGGTGGCTATGAGTTGAAATCAACTAGATGGTAGGAGAAGTGGATTGATACTCTAATGAGGCATTTGTCTCATATGTTTAAGTTGTGTGATCTGTATTTAATGTCCCTTTTGTCCCTCCTTCTGCCCCTGAGACATTGGTATGTTTTGATCCAGATGTCACCTGTGAACTTAATACTTCTTTCTATAGCAGTTTTAAGCTATGGACAAGTTAGCATGATGTATATGGGAGCTCTGGTGGTGTAGTGCCTAAGGCATTTGACTGCTAACCAGAAGGCTGACAGTTCGAACCCACTAGCCACTCCTCAGAAGGAAGATTGGGCAATCTACTTCGGTAGAGATACCGCCTCAGAAACCCAAGGAGGGGTCATTACGAGTGGAATT